TAAACTGCATCACTGTGAAAAGAGAATTAAATTATATTCTTCCTGTTGTAAAGACATTATTAAATCGATTCTTTAGTTTAGGCAACACTTTATTAATTACGAAATCTGATATTTTTTGCCAAGCAGCATACAGTTTTAAAAAATAGTCTGGATAGTCTTGCTAAAAGTATCTCGTCGGTGGCTCATATTAAGAATGAAATTTGGAATATACATAGGACTATGTTACCGACAGATTTGGATACTTAGTTCCATTTTGCCGGATGTCAGTCTGCGTGGGCGCCAAAACGCTGTCTCCCAAAAATACATGGGAGTGAACAGGCCCTTCAATACAGATTCCATTATTTCCAATTTGAAAAGCAATAATATATATATATTGTTACGCCCGTGTCTAAGTCCGCGTCTAAGTCCGCGTCATCCCGTATGTACGAACGAGCCGACGAGAGGAGATTGTTTCCTGGACGACGGACTGTCGGCTGTCAAACGGACGCCATTAGAGAGAGAGAAAGCTGAGCTGTCAGTGCGAACGGACGTGCTCTGATCTACTCTGTGTTTCTTGTATTACGTGTGCTCTTGTGTTGTGTTCATTAAAGAGTTTATTCATTTTGTAAGCGAGTCCCCTTTATTTCCGCGAAAGCGTCGGAACGCGAACGCGAGTGCGCGAGTACGACTCCCGGGCGTAACAATACTCTTTCCATTTTACCAGCACGTTTTCTGTTATATATTTGCATAGAAATTAATGTACTTTCACCTAGAGCTAGCCACACATCATATGAAAATTTTTCTTTTAAAATATTGTATGCTTCACGTCTTTTATTATTTACATAATCATAAAGCTTTCTGATATCGCTTATACTTGGAGCTACTTCTACTTTTTGTCGCCTTAGATGTGCTCTTGTTTCCATTACTGTTTTATTAACTGAATTGCCATAATCTTCTTTACGAAGAGAAAAAAAATCTTGAACAAGATTCTTTTTAATAGGATCTTGATTTTTAATACATTGTGATAACCATAATTC